CCATTCGTTTCCCAGCCCCTCTTCCTGCTTCCCTGCTCTTCCGAGATGGCAGGGTGAGCAGCTCTGGCGCACCTTACTTTATCATCGGAGAGAATGTTCCTCTATTTTGACCTAATTATCCCTATATGTGTCTCCCCTTTTGAAAGTGACTTTGTCTCAACACCTACCCAGAACTGCCTTGATGGCACAGAGGAGTGGCTGGATACAGGACTTCTGGGTTTGAATCACATAATCTGCCCCTTCTGCAAAAAATGAGAAGTAGAGTCTTGCAGGCTAACACCCAGGCTTGACACAGAACTGGCTTAAAGCCATCAGGTACATGTTCTCTGCTAGGAATTTGCAGTTGGGCTCTCACGATGGCGTGAGGTTTAGCTCAGCAAGGGGACACCAGCAAGTTGTCCAAAAACTGGGCCATAATCATGTAAAGTGGCGAAGATGCTAATTATCACCCCAGCGGCACTTGTGTTACAGTACCGAAATGAGCAGGTTAGCCTGTTGTACGGCCTGTTGTACGGATTTACACAGTGTTTGTCAAAAGAAACTTCAGTAAATAATATAAAAACCGTAGCACAGTCGCAGGCTCAGTGGCGAAACCAGGCGCAATCTCTGTCATGAATTTGTGCTTATGCTTGGGCCCCAACTTGGTCCTGGAGAGTCCCAGACAGCACAGGGTTGTCTGGGCCCTCAGGGCACACCATCAGGCAACCTGGAAAAGCCCTAGAGAAGAGGCCAGACCCAGAGTGGCCGGCCTGCAGGTGCGAAGAGCTCACCTAAAGGCCCTGGCGGGAGCTGCAGTGAGCCCCAGGAGCAGTGCCCACTAGCCTGCTTTTAAGTAGGCACCGTTTTCTCTTCTTTCACATGACGTCTTTCCTTCCAGTGTCTGCTGTCAGGGACAGCAAGGCAGCAGCACACAGAAGCAGCTCGTTATTTCAGCACCGCAAGTGCCAGGTTTTAGCTCTTCTGGAAGTTGTAGGGAAACAGGCGGTGTGTGCACTTAGATTTGGAAGCTTGTGTATCAGCAGGGCCATCTTAAGTTGATAGTCGTAATTATTAAAGCCTTCAGATTTGAAGGTCTTCATCTGAAGGGAGAGAGAGACAGACAGACATGGGGCGGTAACACAGCCCCATGCAGCCCTGGACACCAGCGCCGGGTTGGCCTTGTTTCATTTCAAAGGCTGCTCGCACTTCTGGTAAACCACAAGGTATAGAGGGTGGTCTCTGAGAGCAGATGTTTTGCCAGTTTTGAGGCCTTGTGGCTTTCCATGGAGAAGCAACAGTACAGGCCACATGAAGCTTTTACTTCCTCTCCCCGCCCCGCCCCCGCCAGTGGGCCCTTGGCGCTCTGCGCTCGGCAGCGCCACCCCCGGTGCTCTGCAGAGTGGTGGTCTGCGCTTGCCACTGGATGTCAGCTTCCCCTCGGGCCTGAAGTCCTGGCATCAGGCCTGCGTGCCAGCGGGCTCAGAAGTAGTAGTGAGTCCTGGAGGATATTTAGAGCCGGTGCTGCAGCATGGAGATCAGGCTGCAGGGGTGAGGAGGCCAGAGGCATGCACAGCTTGCTGAGCCCCGCCTGGTTCTGAACATTGGCTTTTCAGGCTTCCTACCCTGACCACCCTTTCCAGGCCTGAGTCACCTCAGACTGCTTTCACATGCAGATCAAAAAACGGCGCCACCTGCCGAGGGTAGGGAGGCCTTGCTGTAAGATACACCTATCTCTGCCTCAGCTGGTGCCTGAGGCCTACACAGATAAATAAAGGTCGAAGCAGTGGGAGGGATGGTCAGGGAAGTTTCATTTTGGAGTGGGAGGGACTTGAGCTGAGGATTAAGGTAAACCGGAAGGATGTTAGGTTGGCCTTGGAGGAGTAGAAGAGACCCAAGCGTCCAGGCAAGGGCACAGTGTGGGCCAGTTGGCAATATGGAAGGCTGGAAGGGTGGTGGTGGGGGGCGGGGTTTTCAGGGCCTTGGATTCAGAGCTGAGCAGCGGGAACAGGGGTCTGAAGGAGTCAGAGAGGTGTCATAGCATGTGGGCTCCCGTCTGAGGAAGCCTTGTGAGTGACTGGGGGTGGAGATGGATTAATAGGGCACCTGGTGGGAGGGCGGGCGGGGCTTGGAATGGGCAGACTAGGAAGACATTGGAAGATCTAAAGGGGGAGTGCCGAGGACTTGGTGGCTAGTCACCGACCAGCAGAAAAGACAGAGTCAAAGGAAACTCATGACTGAGAGTGCCACTTCCCAGGTCTCTGCTCATTGGCCCATGGTGGCAGCGCAGAGCATAGAATTCGGAGCCAGGGCTTGGATTCGACCTTGGCAGGGAGTTGGGTGACTTGGTCTGTTTACTTAACTGCCTGTGCCTCAGCCTCCTGTCTGAGACGTGTAGACAGCAGTAGCTACGAGGCTGTGAGGACTCCAAGGCTGTGAGGACTTCTAATTTATATCCGTGCGGCTCCCGGCAGGTAGAGGCAGTTCATAGCTGTTCCGCTGAGTCAAGTGCAGAGGATTGCCGCACTGAAGTCACTGAACAAGGCCCTGAACTTCTGCCTCCAGGCCTACCACCTGTTGGGCTCTGGGAGACCTTAGGCCTCAGACCCAGTCAGGTTGCGAGTTCCTGGCCATCTTTCCAGCCTTGTCAACTGGTCTCTGTATCGCTGCCAGCCTGCCCCCACCCACTTCCTAAGTCACGTTGCCACTGGCCCAGGCCTTATCTAGTCTTTTCATGGAACACTTGAGCATAAGCTTTTGCTGGCTTACAGTCAGGACGGAGACCCTTCAGCCTGGCTTCAGAGGCGCTCTGCAACTCGACCCTCTGCTGCCCCTTCAGCTCTCTGCTGGCACTCGGTTCTGCACACACTATTTCCGTCAGTTCCCAGAATGCCCGCCATGCCCTTCCTGCCTGACTCCTGGCCTAGGAGCCTTGCGGGAGCCCACCTGGCGGGCTCCACTCTTCCTCCTTGACTTCCTGGGGCCTGGGGCCTGGAGCAGAGAAAGCGGCTCCTTTCTCCTGGCCCACCATGCCTTTTGTTTCTGTTCAGCTCGTCCCACAGGCCTGGACAATGACATTTCTCTGGCTGCTGCTGGTCAGCCCTGGGCTGCTTGAGGGCAGGGCGGTCCCCAAATCCTTTCTGTGCCCCTGCAGAGATGCCTGGCACACAGCCCAGGGTGCTTGTTGCTCCTGGAAGCCATACCTTGGTTAGGTAACAAAGGTCATTCTTCTTGGCCAGGAGAGCTTGCTTCTTTCTTGAACCTTGACAGTTGTTCCTTGGACGATAGAGTTATTTTGAAAATTGACAGTGATGAGTCATATCTCGGGAAAGGGGCGAAGTCTGAAAATGCAGGGCCTCCAGGAATGGAGTAGGAGGTGCGCTGGGTCCTGCAGGCCAAGTCTGGCTCTTCACTGAATTTGCCCGGCTGCTCTCAAACCCGGGGAGTGGGAGGGACTCCCTTCCCGGTGGGCAGGTGATTTATTGGCTGGGAAGCTTCCGCGGTGATTTAGTTGTGAAACGGCGCCCTGCGAGGTGCGCGCTAATGCCTGGCCCGGCGCAAGCGGCCGCCCACAATACCGGGCCGGAAGGGACCGCGGGGGTCGTCCGGGCCAGGCCCCCACGTCGCAGCCCCGAGGCGGAGGGGGCGGAGGGAGAGTGGCCATCGCGCTGCAGACCGTGCCCGCGCGGAGGGAGGACTGG